ATAAAAGCAGGTATAGTATAAATTCAATTAAGAAACCTTTCAATTTGGGAAAGTTTTTTGATTGGCTACCCCCCAAAGACGCAAGGCATTATRGGATGTGAAAGTAGAGAATTTGTTTTATATTTTTAATACTTAACACTGGCCCTGGCAAATTGACGTGGATTGTCGAAACGTTTGAAAAAATTTCACTTCCCTTCAATTTTATGTAAGCCGCCATCTTTGATGTTACTTGAGCCCACGCTATTTGTTGCGGAAAACCGTATTCGTCACCATTCCTCAATACCACAGGACACGTAGCGGAGTGCTCGGCTTCTTGACACTTCTCGAGTGTTCTGCCAATCCCCAAGTGCTTTATAACTCCACACAGCACAGCAAGCTAGTTTCTTTTTTCTTTTATGCAATACAAATTAGAATACCCGTTACTTTAGACAGGATTATAAAATAACTGTTATAAATCTCGCATTCTTATTGGTTGGGAGCGCGTGCTTTATAAGAGCAAACAGCACTCATGCACCCTTTGCATTTTATAAAAGAAATAGAAAACTTGCTTGCTGTGCTGTGCTGTGTGGAGTTATAAAGCACTTGGGGATTGGCAGATCACTCCGCTACTCGTCGCACTTCTCCTAACACTTCTCTCGTRTTCTGCTAATCCCCGCGTGCTTTATAACTGCACACAGCACGCGCACGAGTTTTCTATTTCTTCAATGACACTACTAAAAGTGCTCGCGCGTGTTCTCTCATAAAGCACGCGCTCCCAACAATCAGAATGCGAGATTCATAACCACAAAACGAAGAAGCAAAAAAAAAAAATTACTGTTTTATTTTAAGGTTTCATTTTTAATCTGTTGGAGTCAATGAAGGAGTCTGTTCAGTTAACTCGGACAACTACTAAAATACTTGTTGTCAGAAGAATCCTATGGATTTTAATCGATTTTGCTTTTTCACAACAATCTTTAATTTTTCGCGCTAAAGTAGATACTTATTAGGGGACTTAAGCTCATGTTAAAYGTCAAATTTCACATGAGCCGAACCTAATGACATCATAGAAGACCGTTTGTTATCCATTGCTTCAATTGCGTTCGGCACATGTGAAGTTCGACGTTTRACCTGAGCCTTAGCCAACCCGGGAATTAGAGAGATACAAAAAGCATAAAAAACGCCTGTTAATGSCTATGGGTATGTACCCTTCTTGTTCGTTAAGTGTGCAGTACTGCCTACTATCATCCTCCCCCAAAGGATAAGCTTAACTAGTCGCTCAAGTGCTCCGAAGTGCTTCGAAGTGCTGCATCAATATTTTGAACAATATTTTATTTTAGTATTTTTAAACAAGTGAATATAATAAATCCGGCGCGCTCGTTGGTCACAATTTACGACATGCTGTTTTATTAAAAATACACAGGTGATTATTGAAAATCTCGCGCGCTAATTGGTCGAGAAACTCACACTATCGCACGATAATCACCTCCAGCGATAATCCAAAATGGCGGCCAGCCGCTTTGTTACTGTTAGCTAATTTTAAATGTGTCTTTTATCTTCTTCTTCTTCTTTATTTTTCTTTTTTGAAAGAATCACCTGTGTATTTACTAAAACAATCATTTGCCTCAGCCTCTATGAATATCGGGGAATATTCTTACAGGAAGATATAACGCGCGCACGCACGCTCGTTTGTCGATTTATGCTGCTTACAGAGATAAATAAAATTTTAACAAAAAGAAACTATCTCTCTGTTATTTATCCAATTCACTCTCGTTAAGAATACTAAAACAACTTATTTCAGCTTAACATAAAATATCCCTGTGAAATGTAGTACTATTTATATGAAGCTGCAATATTAATTAATCAGTTCTCTATGGGTCCAATTCTCTGTTCCTGGAGAGGTTCATTATCTGGAGCTTGATCTCTTCGTCGTCGATACCAACGAACCACGTACACTATTATTCCACATATTATGCACAKGCCAAGAAGTCCCGAGATACCAACAGCTACCCATTTACCGATGTCTATTTTTTCTACTAATGGAAAAAAAAACACGTTGTTAGAGATTCAGTTGTTGGCGGATGCAATATATTTATTGGAAGAAAGAGACTTGGTACCTCTTTACAAGCAGGGAGGTTAACAATAGTACCAGGATTACTTGCCTAGCAGGGCAAATAGATAGCTTGGCTTTACGAGAAAAAATATTAATAATATCTAATACTTGATAYTGCGCATTCTAACATTCTAGATATGATCGAGTGTGCAAAATGTAGGTAGGATAACCCTGGTGGTAGGGACAAGTCGTACGGTAGAGCTGGTTAGCAACGCAAGCAAACATAACGGTAAATCACAACAAATTGGCAGAACTTTTGACTTCATTAGAGATATTACTTATAAATATTGCGATTTAGCAGGCATTAAATTGCTGGTTTATAATAATGGCTAAGTYATAAGTGATACTAATAACTTATTACTAAGTTATTGCCAACGAGGCAGCCGAGCGAAGACGCGAGGCTGCCGAGTCGGCAGCAACATAGAGTCGATGCGCGAAGAAGTTATGCAGAAAAGAGCTCGAATCGATGTGATGTAATAATGTAACAATAGAATAGCTTCTAAACCAATCAGAGAATGATTTGCTTGTGACGTCATCACAGTCTCAGTCTCTCTTACTTAATATTCTYTTGACCCGGAGTAACAGCTAAAGYGATGTCTTGTATTTGATCTRTCTACAATCTATTACGCTCTGCAACTTAATGCATCGAACACTCTGACAACTGTGTTGTACATACACGTTTGTACATACAGCGATATGCAGAAATTCTGATSCTTTTGTATTCACACAAAGTATATCAGAAATCATGGCATACCATCTCTGATATTTTTTTCAGAAAGCCTCAGTGATGGGCAACCCGGGAAAAATATCAGCGATGATAATTCATAATTTCTGATATACTTTTGATGATGCTTGTATATATGTACAAAAGGATCAGAATTACTGCATATTGCTGTATATATATATATATATAATGCCTAACCAAAAAAATTCTGCAATTTTGTATTTCCACATATATATATGTCAAATGAAATATGTATAAATGTATACTACAACCTTTCTGCAATCAAGTGTATATCAATATAATAATAATAACATAATAATATATATAATAATAATATAATAATATATTATATAATAATGACAATAAAAATAATAATATACTCTATAATAATATATTGTATAATCGAGTGTGTATATATATATATATATTATATA